AGTGGTGAGAGTGGGGTGTTGAAGTGTGTTGGGTTTAATGTGTGATTTGAGTTTTAGTAATGTTTCTTTTACGAACTTGGATGCCTTTGTATTTGGGGAATAGATTTTCAGAATTGAGACTTCATCTTGATGGATTTTTCTTGTGATGAATATGAAATGACCTTCTTCATCTCTTTTGATTAATTTTAGTTTGAAGTCTAATTTCTTAGATATTATAATAGGTGCACCAGCTTGTTTCTTAGGACCATTCGATTGGAAAATCTTTTCCCATCCCTTGACTCTGAGGTAACGTCTGTCTTTGAAGTTGAGGTGTGTTTCTTGTATGTAACAGAAGGATGGATTCTGTCTTCATATCCATTCTGTTAGCCTGTCTCCTTTTATCAATGGGTTAAGACTATTGCTATTGAGGAATATTAATGATCACTGATTTTTGATCATTGTTTCTTTTTGATTTGTTTTGGTTGTGGTATTGTGTGTGGGTTCACCTCCCTTTTTTGTTTTTGGCTTTTGGTAATGGGCAATCATCTGTTGCCTATGTTTTTGTGGGTGTAGTTAATTTCTTTGAGTTGGAGTTTTCTTTCCAGGGCTGGATTTGTGAACATATAATGCTTAAATCTGGCTTTGTCACAGAATATCTTGTTTTATCCATCTATAGTTATTGAAAGTTTTGCTTGGTATAGTAGTCTGGGCTGACATTCATGGTCTCTTAGTGTTTGTAGAACATCTATCCAGGACCTTCTGGCTTTCAGAGTTTCCATTGAGAAGTCAGATGTAATTCTAGCAGGTCTGCCTTTATACGTTACTTGGTTTTATTCCTTTGCTGCCCTTAATATTCTTTTTTATTCTGTATGTTTGGTGTTTTGACTATTATGTGGAGAGGGGACTTTTTTTTTGGTCCAGTCTATTTAGTGTTCTGTAAGCTCCTTATACTTTCATAGCCATACATGTCCTTCTTTAGGTTGGGAAAGTTTTCTTCTATGATTTTGTTGAATTTGTTTTCTGCACCTTTGAGCTGTGCTTCTTTGCCCTCTTCTATAGCTACTATTCTTTTTTTCTGACATTCTTTTCTCCATTTTTTATTTGAATTAGAAACAAGATTGTTTTACATTTCAATCTCAGTTCCCTCTCCCTTCTCTCCTCCCCTACAGAACCCCCAACTAAAACCCTACCAATCACATAACCTTTCTGCTCCCCAGGAAGGGTGAAGCCTTCCATAGTGTTCTGAAGGGTCTGTCATATCCTTTGGGATAAAGCCTAGGCCCACCCCTATGTGTCTTGGCTCAGGGAGTATCTCTCTATGTGGATTGGGGTTCCAAAGTCCACACCTATGCTAGGGATAAGTATTGATCTACTATAGGAGGCCCCATGGATTTCCGAATATACCTACTATTTTTAGGTTTGGTCTTTTCACAGTGTCCCATATTTCCTGGATATTTTGTGTTAAGGATTTATTTGACTTAAGATTTTCTTTGGCCGATGAATCTATTTTCTCTTACATTATTTTTAGTTTGTCTTTTCCTCTATTTTTTTTCTTCCATTTCTTTAAGGGATTTTCTCATTTCCTTTTTGGGAGTTTCTATAATCTTCATAAAGTTGTTTTTAAGGTCATTCCCTCCTTCTTCATCTGTGTTGGGATGTTCAGGTCTTGCTGGTGTAGAGTCCCTAGAATCTGCTGGTGTCTTATTAGACTTTCTGTTACTGAATGCGTTCTTTTTTTTTTTTTTTTGAGACAGGGTTTCTCTGTGTAGCTTTGGAGCCTATCCTGGCACTCGCTCTGGAGACCAGGCTGGCCTCGAACTCACAGAGATCCTCCTACCTCTGCTTCCCGAGTGCTGGGATTAAAGGCATGTACCACCAACGCACGGCTAAATGTGTTCTTATACTGTCATCTTCCCATCACTTCTTTCAGTAGGTGCAGGTTAGGTCTCTCTCTCCTGGTGGGTATGGGTTCAAGACTCTGTCCAGGTGGGTACAGGTGTGTCCAAGATTCCCATGGCAGCAGATGTTAGATGGCTGTCTCTTCCAGTGGGTGCCGGTCCAAGCTGGATGGCTGGGTCTGCCTCCTGGTTTCTCTGGGTGGTTTGGTGGTGGGATGGGACTTGCAGGCTGCGTTTCGGGGGTCTCAAACAGGGAAAGCTGGGTAGGAAACGGCTCAGCACTCACCTCTTCCAGCAGGTGGCAGTCCAAAACTGGGATGGAGGCAGATGCCAGATGGTTCTGTCTGCCTCCAGGTCTCTCTGGGGTGGGGTTGGTGGAGGGACAGGACTGGGGTTCCAAGTTTCAGGGGTCTCAAACAGGGAAAGCTTGGCAGGAAACAGCTAGGCACTCACCTTTTCCTGTGTGTGCCATTCCAAGACTGGGATGGTGATGGCGGCAGATGCAGGAATGTCCATTTTATTTGCAGACATTTGTGTGGGATGTAGAATTTTGCAGTGACTAGAAGTTTTATCTACTATACAGGGGTAAACATGAGAAAGACCATGAAAATGCAAAAAAGAAAAAAACAACAATAATATATCAGTTGTCTTAATTAGGTTTTCTATTGCTGTTAAGAGACACTGTGACCATGGCAACTCTTATAAAGAAAAATAATTAATTGAGGTGGCAGTTTACAGTTCCAGAAAATTTGCCTATTGGCAGCTGGGAGCATGGTGGCCTGCAAGCAGACGTGCTGCTGGAGAAGGAGCTAAAAATTATACATCTTGATTCACAGGAGACAGGAAGTGAACTGAGACACCATATGTGGCTTGAGCATATATGAAACCTTGAATCCCACCCCTACAGTGACACACTTCCTCCAACAAGGCCACACCTACTCCAACAAAGCTATACTCCCAAAGGTGCCACTCTCCATGAGCTTATGGGGGCTAATTCAAACTTTCAGTGTACAAAGTGGAAAGTATTTTAAGATAGAGGCACAGTTAGGAACTTTCTGGAAAAGACTTCAGTGGCACAGGAAGCAAACAAAATAATTGACAAGTAGGATCACATAATACTAAAAGCTTCTGTACTGCAAAGGAAACTATTAGTGAGAAGCAGTCTGCAGAATGGGAGCAAACCTTGGTTAGCCCTAGAATATATAAAAACTTAAAATTAAAAAAATCTTCCCATAAAAGGATGGCTGAATGAATTGAAAGATAGTTTCCAAAAGAAGAAACATTCATGGTTAATAAATATTTTTAACTAGTTTTCAACATTCTTGGTTGTGGAGATACAAATTACAATATCTCACCCTGGTCAGAATGGTGCACATTAAGAAAACAATGGTGACAGATACTGGTGGAGAAAGGAATAAACACACACACACACACACACACACACACACACACACACACACACACACACCCTGGAAAGATATTGTCAATGGTCAATAGTATCACTTTTATCTTGAAGGAAACCAATAGCTTTCTTTATTTTATTTTATTGTTTTTTATTTTTTTATATATTTGAATTACAAACAAGATTGAATTGAGTGACAATCCGAGTTCCCTTCTCCCTCCCTTCCTTCTCTACCACCCGCCCCAACTAAAATCCTACCTGTCATATGTCCTTTCTTTTAATCTACACCTGACTCAAAATTTCTGCTCCCTCATGACCTCTGCATCCTTCCTTTTCTTCCCTTCTCACTCTCGTAGCTTCCCCCTCCCCTCTTCCCATGTTCTCAATTTGCTCAGGGAATGGTGACCCTTTCCCCTTCTCCAGGGGACAAAGTTTGTCTCTTTTAGGGTCTTCCTTGTTTACTAGTTTCTTTGGCAGTGTGGATTGTAGGATGGCAATCCCTTACTCTATGTCTAAAATCCACATATGAGTGAGTACATATCATGTTTGTCTTTTTGTGATTGGGTTACCTCACTCAGAATGGTTTCTTCGAGTTCCATCCATTTTCCTGCAAATTTCAATATTCCATTGTTTTTCTGCTGAGTAGTACTCCATTGTGTAAATGTACCACATTTTCTCCAGAGAAAAGAAGATTCTTATTCATCATGAGTGTATATATAAACTAATCCATCCACCATCATGGAGGCTTCTCAAGAAAGTAAAATTAGAACTGCCATATAACCTAGCTATACTGGTTCTGGATACATTCCCAATGTAGTCATTTTTAATTAGCAAACTATATAATTATGAAATTAATTTGTTATTTCTAAGTCCTCAGTATATGTATCATTAATAATATATGAGTAAAGGTCATATGTCTTTTCTAACTCCACTGATTAGTATCTAGAAATAGAAAACATCATAGATATGTGTATTTTAAGCTTTTCCTAATTTTGAAAAAATTCTATGCTTCATTTAGAATGCTGTCTAGGCAGAAAACATATTTTAAAGATCTGCAAAATCTTAGTGGATTTAATATATGAATTGACATTTTAATTTAATTCATGGTAAAGTAAAATAGTCTAAAAGGTACATATAGTAACTGCAATATTGTAATTGGTTACAGAACAATGAATTTCAAAGTCCAAAGAAGGTTTTATTTTGTTAAGTATTTTGTTTATTTTCTTCTTCTATGTTTTTTTTTCCTTTGTTGAAACAGGGTCTTATGTAGTAGCCCTAGAATTCATTATGGAGACAAGGCCAATGTCCACACAGTCTACCTCTTTCTTCTGAGTGTTAACATACTGGGCCTGTTAAGCAGTTTAAGTATTTTGCGAAGTTCTTAGATCTGTCTCTTTTATGCCTAGAGTTAGTTTTCATTAAGCAATTTTAAGTGGTTACTTATTCCATAACACCAAGGTAAAGGGACATACACACACACACACACACACACACACACACAGAGAGAGAGAGAGAGAGAGAGAGAGAGAGTTGTTTTCTACAAACAAAAAGTGGATAATGGAGACAGATATGTTTGTCCCTTGTATTCTCTTTACCTGAGTTGTACTTAAATTCTTGAGTTGAAGTCATTTTCTCCTATCAGGCTAGGTACTCAAAAATCTAATAGGTGTGACATCAACAATTACTTCTTGCTAACAACTCTTGTAATTTAACCCTTTCAGGTGAGCATGCTGATTGATGAATTGCAGACAGCCATCAAAAGCAACAAAGGTCATCTCGCTAAGCTTGGCCCCCAATTACAGACTGAGCAGGAGCAGTTCTCCTCTTATGTCTGCCAACACATTAAGAGCCTTCCAGCAAACACCATGGTCCCAGGAGGCCTGCATCTCAAGGTGGGTGTCACTCTGTGACTCTCACTGGATCCAAGCAGAGACGGAAGCATTCTATCCCATTGAAGATCTGTGTAACACTGATTCCTTATTGAATATCTCATCCTATCCTCAACAGGGAAGTTTGACCTGTAAGGGATAAGAATATTGTTCAGAAAATAGGTCTTAGAAGGTAATAACTATGCATCTTTGAAAAGGGGGTTTATAAAACTTAGCATTCAATACAGAAAAGTAAATTTAATGAAGAACTTCAGTGAGTGAACATTTGCATACTTCTCAAAGAAATAAAAATACTGTGTACATTTCATTTTCTAAAAACAACACATTTGGAAAATGGCCAAGCTTTAATAGTTGACAGACAGTGACAATAAGAATCAGAGGTGAAAAGGCAGGGTGACTGATTGATGTTCAAACTACATTTCCAGGGAAAAAGATATATATTGGATAAGTGTGACACATGTCTGAGTTCACTTGGCAAAATCAATACTTAAGAATATACTGAGGGGGAAAGGTGAATTGGTTATTTGTCAGGACAAGATGGCTAAATGTCCTAGGCTACTCTGCTATTACAGTGTTAGGTGAGAAAAAGAATAATCCTCCTTGGCTAAAGAAGATGAAATACCAAAAGGGAATGTAAAGATTTTTATATTCATGGTAGAATATCCATGCTACCTCTGTCATGTTAAGTTACAGTTCTGTAACTTAATAGTTCACTTCTCAAAGACCTCTGATTAGAGAAACCAGCGTTACTCAATGTGACCCTTTCTATGTAAAGAGGACTGTTTGGAGAACTCCACTGCCTTTACCATCTTCATGGGCATATGATAATATTCACAGCTGACTTATGCTCATCCTTCATCTTTCACTTTATACTTTGAATATAGTTTTAGGTGCAAACACCATTTTAAAGAGTATGGGAGCTTGTAATGACATTCCCATGGGTTAATTTTAAATGAGAACATTACCATTAAAAATTGACCTTTTGGGAAATGTGACTCAATCTTAAACGCATTGTCTATGCCAGTCAGAAAAGGATTTGGGGAGTGACATCTAAGGCATCAAAGACAAGGGTACCCACAGTCAAGTAATATTGTTCTGTTTGGGGTTTTGGCTTGGTTGTGGACCAATCCACAAAAATACTTGCTATTGATTAAGAGATAAAACAGGCAAGGGAATTTGGTCACCTTAATGACATCTGTGCCCCCTTCTTTTAATCCACTATTGTATTGACTGTAGTGCTACTGGGGAAAAGAACTTTTTTCCCTCATAAATTCATTGTTAACTCTGAAGAATTTCTATCATATTAGTGTATTAGCTTGACAGTAAAATTTTAATTGCAGACTCTGAACTGTTCCTTTCACATGCTCCCCCTTTCAGCATCCTTCAAAATTCTTTCCACACCAGCAAATAGGAAATTTATAAGCAAAGGAAACATGTTGTATAATATTTGTAAGTACCTGCTGTGCTATCTAATACAGTAGCTACAATCTGCATGAAGCTATTAAAATTAGCTAAATAAAGCAGCCAGTACCTTCACTGGTGTGTTATAGACTCTTTTGGCTTTAGCACTGACTGAATGGTTAGATACCCTATCCAGAATTCTCTCCCACCTGTGTCATGTGTTCTTTTGCTTTGGTACCCCCACACCCCACTCCAGGAAGACTGGGCATTGTATCCCTCTGCCTCTGCTCCATTCAGTTTCCCCATCTGAAACACTGAGTTTATCTACAGCATACATCATTCTTCTAAATCCTGAGAGCTCTGAGTATCAGCTTGACTTGTCAGTCTTTTAGGGTAGTAGTTTCCAAGTTTGGCTGAATAGAGTTATCTGGGGACTATGTGAGAAATACCAGTGTTCTCCACTCCTGATGATTTGAGGGGAACTGGTTTAGTGTCCTGAGGCTGACTTCTAGCAGCTTGTGAAAAACAGTTAAACTGTCAGGTGTTTTGAGAGCCACTGGTTAAACACTATTATTATTTTTATTTTTTGGTTGTTTTCGAGACAGGGTTTCTCTGTATTGTTTTGGAGCCTGTCCTGGAACTTGCTCTGTAGACCAGGCTAGCCTCAAACTCACAGAGATCCCTCTGCCTCTGCCTCCTGAGCGCTGGGATTAAAGGCGTGCACCACCAATGCCCAGCTAAACACAGCCATTATTAAGAAGTATTTTTAAACATTGAACCAATCCTTTAAAAGATATTGATAACTGTTTCTTTCAGATTATCTGATTACATTTTCCTGTTGCATATTCTTTCCGTTATTACTGTGCATCATGTGTTGTGTTGTGTGTGTGTGTGTGTGTGTGTGTGTGTGTGTGTGTGTTGTGAATTCTCTGAGTGTGCTACAATAAATTTCAGCAAATAGGTTTCTTTTCAATAATGGCTTTCTTTGACTCAAAACTGACCAGTCAGAGTGCATACACAATAGAAACTGGTAAGTGATAAAAATAAAGACATGGATTAGGGGGTGCTGATTGGTTGGGACAGGCCATGGACAAAATTTCCTGTTTTGTTTTAAATACATTTTCATTAGAACATAGCCACACCTGATTGCATGCTGCCTATGGCTGCTTGTCTAAGACAATAGCAGAGTGGCCTTGTTGAGACAGACTATGTGACTTTAAAACCCTAACATATTTACTGCATGGCCCTTTCCAGGAAAATAGTGAGCCAAGTCTTGATTTGAGTGTATAACTTAAAAAGTAGTATAGATTAAATTTTAAAGTATAAAATTTCTGTATTTGTCACATTATGAATAGCATCCACAAAAAGTATACAAAACTATTTTCTGAGCTAGCACAGGAATAGCTCATGACACTAGTAAACAGGCACAGCCACATGGATTGTTTATTTTTGTCTTGTGTATGGGAACATCAATTGGTATTCAGGTCAGAACTGAATTGTTTTCTCATGGTAACTATATGACTAGGTAAAAATCAACAAGCACATTGGCTATGGGTGATTGCATGTTTTATTATTGTTTGACATTTATGTGCCACATATCTTTATATCATCAGAGTGTGTAATGGTCACCCCCATTCCTAAACAGATGTTTAAAAATATTATGAGTTAATTTTTGTCAATACCATACAATTACATAATGTATATTGATCCATTACATCATCTACCCCCTTTCCTGCTGACCCTCTTCTGTCTACTTTCATGTCCTTTTGTTTTCTTTCTGTGACTCACTGATTTAACTAGGGCTTCTTGCATGAACATGGATTGGGTTACTTAGCGGAGTATAGACAGCTTACCAGGGGCTATACCACTGAAGAAAATGTCTATCTCTCCCAGAGCATCCCTCATCTGTCAATAGCTCCTTAAATAGGAGTGGTGGCTCATAATCCCCTCCATCATTCATGACAATGTTGACTGCCCATTCTTGTGCAAGTCTTGTGTAGGTGACTGCAGCTGCTGTAAGTTTATAAGTGTAGTTGTCATATAATATCCAGAGGATATCTTCCCACAGCAATTCTCCAGACAACCTCATCTAACATTCTTCCTACACTCTGTTCCATGAAGTTCCCTGAGCCTGGGAGGGGATGACATAGGTATCCCATTCTAAGAAGGTATTGGCTATTCACTATCACATCTTCAAGTGTGACCCAAGCAACCATAGTTTTACATTTATTCTTTGAGAATTTCATATAGAAATACTGTATTTTCATCATTCCTTCCTCCAGTTCTTCTTGTGTTCCTCACACTCCTTTTCCTAATCATGGCTTCTTATTCTTTAATTATAAACATTACATATATGTGTATTAATTTATAAATACAATGTACCTACATAATTTAGTATTGATCATATGTGTTTAGGGATGACAGTTTGGGACTGGTTAACCTATTAGGGGCTTGTTCCTGGAGAAGACTGAGTGTCCCTCTCTCAGCAACCTGTAGCCCTTCGTCCAATGCTTAAGTCTTGTGATAATTTCCCTGTCCTTGCTATCATCATTTTTAGATCTTTTTGAAGTGGCCATATTGTTGAGACTTCCTGGGTACATGTGGTATATAGGACACTGTCTTGAAGTAGAAACACTGCCCTGTTCCTCTGGCTCTTACTGTCTTTCTGCCCCATCTTCTGTGATGTTCCCTGAGTTTTAGGTGTTTTGTTTGTGTTATAGATATATAAGTTGGGGCAGGGTATCCCACAGAGTCATTTGTACTCCTCATTATGACTAGTAGGGGTTTTCTGTAGTAGTCTCTGCCTGCTGCAAAAAGGAAGCTTCTTTAATGAAGGGTGATAGTTGAACTTGCTTGTAGGATCAACATTTAGAATGCAGTTAGAAATCATATTGGTTTAATGAAGTGGCAGGAGTGAGTTCTTTTCTAGGGTCAGGGCCTCACCAGCCACGTATAGTAGAGTAGTTTCTATGGTACCAGGCATGAATTTCCTCTAATTGCGCAGGCCTTATATCAAATTAGAGAGCAAATTGTTTAACCCCAGTATGTAAGTGTCACTATTGCACTTTTCAGGATTATTTTGCCGTTCTAGTTACTGTTCTTGTTCATAAGTATTACAGCTGGGTAGTACTATTGGTTGCTTTTCTCCCTTGGTGGCTTGCATAGATTCTACCTGTATGTAAGAGCTAGTCTTCAGAGGGGAGTCTTTGTTAGAAGTGAATGGTGTCTTCAGAAATAGGGTCTTACTTTCAGTTTCTGGGCAAAAGCTAATGACGATGTTTTGGTCAGTCTTTTGGACTTCTCTGACCAAGAATTTTTTCTCTCTCTTTTTCAATTACTTCGGTCTTAGAAAAATGGCTGATAAAAATGAACAGGGTGATGAGCCTTTTAATTCTCTTTGTTTGCTTATTTATATCACTTTGTTGCACAAAAGCCACAGCACAACCTTAAGAATCAGCAACCTTCCGTTCTGATGTTATTTATTTGAGTACTCTTCCTTTTCTCTCTTACCTCCCCCTAAGGATTTGTTAATTGTTTATCTTTTCAGGGAATTAAATCTGAGTTTTATTTCTCTTTGTTTGTTTTTCCTATACTGAGATACC